CATGTTTACTGGCGATGGAAAAACAGAGAAATAGGTCAGAGTGGAGCAACCAGTGACGTTCTGCATGAATCTGCCTGAATGGTTGTGACCAAATCAGAGTTGAGCAGTCTCTATGTGCTCAAGTCAATCGTTATCCGCAAGCTCATCTAGGAATCGTTGACCACGACTAAAAAGCTTTGATTTCTAGCACTCTAGAAAGTGCTCTTTCTGAGAGGAATAGCTGGTCTCGCGCGTCTCGACATCATCCGCAGTATAGATATTTTAGAGAGTCTTTGAATAACGACGCTGAATTTTTAGATTGGGAAGTCACATCTGCGATGGTTTCGGGTACTTCTTGTGAAATGGCCAGAAAAGAAGGCAAAACAGCTACTACTTCGTCATCTGACTGGCTGTAAACACCAGGGATAGACAGCTATACTCTCGCAGGACCCTGCTCTAGACTCACGTTAACTTCTACCGAAACTCAAACATCGATAGAGGTGGGGAACATTGGAGATAGTGTCTAACGTGCTTACACTGCATCTTAAAAGGATAAATGCTAATCGAAACAGACTGATTGACTGACCATGCACTGATGATATTAAAAAATAGAGTAATTATTAAAAAATCGCCAGACTTATTACAAACAGTCGTTTGGAATACCATTAGGGCCTTGGTGAAAGGCAAATGAAGGTTCTGCCTAAGATGCCGAGTAATGTGGGAAAAACCATTGGCCTAGATCGAAAGAAATGAAAAACAAACAAAATTGGGCATCAATGCCGTGCATGCAGCTGGAGTCGGATTACACTGCGGGACTGACGCATGACCGATAAACTTCAGCAGTAAGTGACTGATACCCTGGGACACATCGGTTCAGACTGAACAATGACCAAAGAGAGAGATACAGAAGCTTTTGACGACAAATCACATGATAGAGAGAAATGCGGACATTGAGGCGTATAAAAGATTTGCATGTAGTTTTTCTGTATTACAGTACCAAACATTTACTGCTTCCGTGCATTACTATGAATTACCTAACTCTGCGAGCGATGTATAACGTGAAGGATTAAATCAAGTAATTGGCACAGATGGCCGCCTACAGTTATGTAAACACCAACAACTGAATAAATGACTGCGCGCTGACCATGCGACATGGCGCAGACACAAGGTGGAATCCTAAAATAAAACGAAAATCATCGACATTCACAGTCTGACAATAGCACTGCATTGTACTGACAGAGATCTCTCCAGTGACAGGCGTAGATATGAAGACTTTGGCCATATAACTGACAAAAAGGCCATCTGCCCATGACACAAATTAGAACTCGCGACTACAACCTGTGCGTTAAAGTACGGACATCGCAGAGTCATCACAATGGAATTGCAAAAAGAAGTTCACTAGTTTGACAACAGTATTTTCACCCACAGAGAGCTATACATTGCTATATAACTTGATGGGCCAAATCAAGCAATTAATGCGGCTGACTGCAACTGACACTGTCTAATTATATAGATTCAGAGCAGCGACAACAGAACTGGGAGGTGACCATGGCCAGCGGTTTGCGTCCAAACGACTGCACCGAAAGGTCAGAGATTGTTCGTGGCGCCATTTATTTCATTACGTTTACGGCGCGGCGCTGAAGTCGGTTTCTACGTCATAGCCAAGAGTACCTTATTTGTTACAAAGCCAGAATCTACAATAATGCGTCAAGCACACCGTGTAGTTTTCTGTTTCCTTTCCGGAGAGTGGTGCTCTTGTATCTGCCTGGAAAGGAAGAAGATGAAGACTTTGCCAGGCTTTGAACTTGGGATCTTTCAGTTCTGACTCTGACCGTCCACAGACTGAGCAACACCGCTGAATGGGCCTAAATAACTATACAACGGAAAAATGTGTCAACAATATTGCCCCTCAAGTGCAATATTATCAATATGTAATGAACTCGTGCCTTTTAACAGATGACATTTATTGTTGGTACCATTCCACAAATTAGCTAACTAAATCAATTATCAGCCAAAAAAGGTAGAGTAGTTTTGCTGCCATGCACTATATGTGCTACAGTGCTATGGAACAGCATTCTTTTAGGGGACAGACGATACCTTTAGAAACAAGGAGCCAAGACAACTATGCCTGGTAATTCAGAAGAGGTTATGCGCATGGGCAGGATAAAAACTCATATTTATTAACAAGCCAAAATTTGGTTGCAAATTATTATTCTTTAAATAATTCCATCTCTTTTCAAACAATAAGAATACCTTAACATGGTTCTGGATTTCACCCGCTTGATCCATTTGGTTTAAAGTCGTGTGACTGACGTTTGTTGGCACGCGGTCGTTTATGGTGTTATACGCTTCATACAGCTTACTGTACTGCTCTTGCTGCAAAAAAACAATCAGTAGTTGCGCTTGCATATCATGCGCCTTGCTTACCAGTTTGTTGTATTGACCGATAACCTGCTGACTAAGAGCGTTCTGCTCGCCAAGTGCGCTGTTTAGGCGCGCATTTTCGTTTCTGAGAATATCACATGTACTACATTCGCTACGGGAATGTTTAGCCTGAAGAAATATCAGATAATATAATGCTTCAAAGCACAAAATATTAGAGAGTTTCAGATTAGTGTAACATAGAGTTTCTTTCCGATGGACCTGTGTCAGACGATCGGTCGACAGTCGGAACACCGTCAAAAAGTCAAAATGACCTAAAGGGTCCACAATACTAATAGGTTCAGGTTGTTTCATTAGAAAAAAAATTATCACCGTCAGAATGTTGGTCATTCTTATGCTTACGTGGTAGAGCCGTTTGCAGAGTCCTTCTTTTCATGAAGTTAATGGTAGGACGCTGATCTCCATTTTCATGCCATTAGTGAGGTGTGCGTTATTTTTTTTAAAGCAGATTCGACAGGAAGCACAATGTGCAGGTTCCTGTTTCGTTCCAAATGAGTGGTACTCATTTATCAGCCTCTGAAAGAAATCAAATGACCGGACAGGGGAGAACTGACGGTTTTGAGTTGCACGCTCTCCTAACTGAGTAACCTCGGTCTACACTGACTTCGGACGAGGTCGCTTACCGAGATAACGCACCCTCTCAGTTCATATTAATTTTAAATCGACAGCGCATTTACTATATTCGCATTGTGCCTATCTGAATCTGCATTCAGTAGAACGACCACACTACCTCAATCTCGGGCCTTCTGTACTTTTTTGATCATAGATAAGCATATCTGAACGATTATGATGAACAACACGATCTGTAAGTATGAGGTGGTCGACGTAGACGCAACAATGACCATTCTCAAACACGTGGATGCAACGCTTAACAGTGCTGGTAGTATAGCGCAACTTCTATTAGTAATCTTCGATCAACCGCCAGCTGCTCGAATACAATCTTGCATCGGCATTACTGCGCTGTCCGCGGTACTCGGTGTCAGCCAAAACAGCTGTTTGTGGTTGATTCAGATTGATTCCGTGGATGCTGTACTTTTTCGTACGCAAATTTCCATTCAAGATGTATTGCCCATAGATGAAGGTTAGCTTCACATCACACCACATCAAATCCTGATGAAAACAAAACAAAACACGATTCATCTATAAATAAAGCCAACAATTTCGTCGATCGGATGACTGAGCAGTACCTACGCTTCGCACGGTGTCCAAACAGCTTTCATCACAGCAGAGAAGTAGGTAAGCTTCACCATTAGATAAGCCTTCTGACAGAAAATGTATGAGCTGTTGCTAACGATAAAAAGATTTCTGAAGCTCACCCTATGCCCTACCATATGAAGACATACGATGGACGGGCCGAAATAGCGATACTGGTCAATCATCCGATTAATCTAACTGTTTCTGCTGTGTACAAATAAACTGTTTTATGTTGCTGTCAGTCTGATCATCAACGGACCATCCAAATACTCAAGTAAGAGATGATCTTCTACTGCCACAGGAAATCTTCCTATTACCGGAAACTGCCCTTCATCTCGAAGAAGCCAAGCAAGCGAATTTTTCTAATCCTTTTCATCAGACGCAAGGGCAACGAAGTAACATACATGGTACGTTTTCTCATTCCATTTCTGAAATCTGAATAGGAGAAGGAATCTATTCTCCAACGTGTGCTCCTCTCGCAGAGCTGCAGTGGTATATGGCCTACTTTTGACTTATTACATGTCGCCAAAGGCTAAGACATCCCCTCACTTTATTTTCACTATTCGTCATTGCATTCTGTACATTTCTATCGGATGTGACTGCAAGTAAATCCGTGTGCCGGGCTTGGCTTGCAGTGTGTCGAAAAGTACTATTGATACTTAACCAACGTTGATCAGACTTAATCAGACTAACGTTGATTTTTCGACCTGCCTCTAGGCCTTATGTAGCTTGGGTGTTAGCAGACGACCAATTACAATGTTGATCAGCCGTCTGTCATTTCGTCATAGTGCGTGGTCGAGGAATGAACATTTGTTTCTCAATTTCGTCAGAGAAAAACTTGATAATAATCACTGCTCGATGTATTCCACCTGTGTCCCTTCTAACATTGCCTTCTAATTCAGTATTTGCGGTCATATCGATAAGTCTAGCTAACTGTACTGACATATCTTATACTGTTTGAATCGATTATGGCTCCATGCAGCGGTGAATACTAAGAAAAAGGCGCAAAGAATCCCTATTATTCTCTGCACAAATCAGCTACTCTCAGCAGACAAAGGCCGTAGCGCTTTGCTGGTAGATACAAGTGCACTAAATATGATTTCTGATAGCGAATGCGATAGTCAGAAACATATTAACATTCTCTCCACTATTCAGACATTCTACATTTACGGTTTACACTTTGTATTAATCATTAATCAGTACATTTAATGGAATTTCAGTCATACAGCAAAGACATCAGACAGCTTGGCCCCATAGTATTCTGCTAACCCGACTGTTAGTGAATTACCCGTATCGCAGCTGGCCGCACTGAAACAACGTGGGGTGAATTCCCTGCTCAAGGGAACACTAACAGTACGTAGGGCAACTAAGTGCATACGATCCGGATGCTTCATCTGAAACCTACTGATGAGCTGCACCACCGCTGGTCCGTTGCATGCGCGATTCATTCTTCAAAGCGAGAAAACTCGACAATGGCTCGGAATTAAACATGGCTATTATTGTTGATATAGATGACATGCAGGAGATTCCATAAGTCTTAAAACAAGACAAAACCCTTAAAACTTTTAATCGAAAATAAAAAAATTGCATATATAACGCTGTTCGAGGAGTGTGCGCAAATTCGATTAACAACAGTAAATGAAAAAATACACAAACGATATTGTGATCAGGCCAGTGACTGACAAATAACGAAGTTTCTGCTCGTATCCCACGAGCCATCATCAAAAAAGTAGGTGATTGCGAAGTTTCGTGAATGTAGTTGGTCGTCCG